GGGCTGCAGGGAGTGGCGTGGGCTGCAGGGAGTGGCGTGGGGTGGGTTCAGTAGGGGGCGCCGTGCTGCAGGGAGTGGCGTGGGGCACTCTAACCCCGCCATGTGTCCCCCCCTGCAGGAGGCACTTTCCGTGGTGAGCGAGGACCAGTCCATATTCGACCCCTCCTACGGCCCTCCCCACCTCATGAAGACAGAGGTGCCCCCTGCCGAGGAGTACAACGGCAAGGAGAGGCCGGCGCTGGGGGAGCCGGATTGGTCCAGTCAGACCAGCAGGGGGCACACTGTGAAGAGGGAGAATGAGAATGTCAACTGCTCCAGGTCAGGCGGCTGGGGTTAACCTGCGGGACTCCCTGCCACTTGGTATTAGTGGGGTTAGCCCGTGGGACTCCCTGCCACTGGGGCTGTCGGAACTGGCCCATGGAGCCAGGCTGCGGAGGGGGAGGTTCTTGCGCCTGTGGCCCAGCAGAAGGACCCGGCCCAGCCCCACCCCTGAGCCCACAGCTCCCGGCTCAGTAGAGCTGGGCTGCACCGGCGCCCGCAGGAAACGACTCACTTCCCTCGTCCCATCCCCAGGAAACCTCGGTCAGCGCCACGGGCGGGGTAGGACAGGCCAACACACAGCCCTGCCGGTGCCCCTCACTCCCGAACCGCAGCCCCTGCTAGCCCAGCCCCGGGCTCCCCCCACCCTGCCGGTGCCCCTCACTCCCAACCCGCAGCCCCTGCTAGCCCAGCACCGGGCTTCCCACCACCCTGCTGGTGCCCCTCACTCCCAATCTGCAGCCCCCTGCTAGCCCAGCCCTTCTCCCCCTACACAGCGGGTCTGAGACCAGCCAAACTCAGTCCTCTTGTGATCAGATCCAGTCCTCACTTCCCGCTGTTGCCCTGTAGACAGTCCCCCGTGGACTGCAGTGTATCCAGACGCAGCAAATCCGGGAGCGACCCACACCCCATCCCCTACTCAGCCAGCTACAGCGACCAGCGGAGCAGCCCCCCAGCCAACCCCCCCAGCGAGGAGAAGAGGGTTATCGTCCCAGCGGGTGAGTGCGCCATCCCTGCTCCGCGTACCCCCCAATGGCCCTTCGCTGTAGCGCAGCCTCTGCCCCCTCCCCTGCCCCGGGGCCCAGAGCCAGGGGTCTCTTATTTCCTAGTTTGGGGCAGGGTTGGTAAATGGCTCCCAGGAACCCAAATGTCCGGGCCGGCTGGCTCCTCACCATGGCGCATTTCTGGGCGGGTAGCTGCAGCCCAAGAACCCAGGTGTCCAGGGCCAGCGAGGCTCAGAGTGGGTTGCTGTTCCTCTGGAACCTAGGTGTCCGGGCTGGCCGGACTCTTTCCTCGCTCGTGTGTGTGCTGTGGTCTGGGAGGGCAACTGTACCCCAGGGACCCAGGCATTCGGGCTAGCTGGATTCTTTCCCCCTCCCCAGCAAAGCTGCGGCTGGGTGGTCGTGGCTCAGGGACTCAGGTGTCCGGGCCAGCTGGACTCCCCTGTGCATGTATGTGCCATGCTTTGGGTGGGTAGAGCTCTCAGGATCCCAGGAGTTCGGGCCAGCGGGACTCCCCCTCTATGGGTAGCTGTACTCTGGGAATGCAGGCGTCTGGGCCAGCTGGACTCCGCATGTCTGTCTGTCTCCTGCAGACCCTGGCGTGTGGACCCAGGACCACGTGCGCCAGTGGCTGGACTGGGCGGTGAAGGAGTACGGGCTGGAGGAGGTGGACGTGGGACTGTTCCAGCACGTGGATGGCAAGGAGCTGTGCAAGATGGGCAAGGAGGATTTCCTGCGCCTCACCTCGCCCTACAACGCCGACGTGCTGCTGTCTCACCTGGCCTACCTGCGGCAGAGTACGGCCATACCCCACGGAGCCCCGCCCACCAAAAGGGTGCCCCTCCTTTCCACCAACAAGGAACCTGCCCACCGACAGGGAGCCCCGCCTTCCGCCCAACAAGGAACCCACCCACTGACAGGGAGCCCCACCCACCGACAGGGAGCCCCTCTTTCCCACCAACAAGGAACCCCCCCACTGACAGGGAGCCCCACCCACCAACAGGGTGCCCCGCCTTTCCACCAACAAGGAACCCACTCACTGACAGGGAGCCCCGCCCACTGACAGGGAGCCCCGCCTTCCCACCAACAAGGAACCTGCCCACCAACAGGGTGCCCCGTCTTCCCACCGACAGGAAGCCCCGCCCACTGTCAGGGAGCCCCGCCTTCCCACCAACAAGGAATCTTCCAACCGACAGGGAGCCCTGCCTTCCCACCAACAAGGAACCCACCCACTGACAGGGAGCCCCGCCCACCGACAGGGAACCCCCGCCTTCCCACCAACAAGGAACCTGCCCACCGACAGGGAGCCCCGCCCACCAACAGGGAACCCCGCCTTCCCACCAACAAGGAACCTGCCCACCGACAGGTTGCCCCGCCTTCCCACCAACAGGGAGCCCCGCCCACTATCAGGGTGCCCCGCCTTTCCACCAACAAGGAACCCACCCACTGACAGGGAGCCCCGCCCACTGACAGGGAGCCCCACCTCCGCACAGTCAGGGAGCCCCCTAGCACCAGGATGTCCATACCTGGCTGGGAGCCCTATCCTCAGACACAGGACCTAGGCTCCCAGACATGGGAGCCTCACCCCCAAACCGGGGAGCCCCGCCCATCACCATAAACCACACCTCCTAGTGCAGGAGCCCCGCCCATCTGTGGGACCCTCTGCCTCACTCAGCTCTGACCAGTGCTCTCCTGTCTACCCCCACAGGCAGCCCGACCTTCACCTACCCGGCTGCCCCAACTGTGACCCCCCAGCCCCCCGCACCCCCACCACGCGTGCAAGTGAAAACAGGTGAGTCTGTGAACCCCAGCCCTGCCCCTCCCCCATGGGCTGGGAGTCAGGACTCCTGGGTTCTATCCCAGTTCTGGGTGTTCTGGGTGAGGAATGGGGACTAGTGGTTAGGAGGGTGGGGACTCCTGGGTTCTATCCCAGCTTTGGGGGGCGGGAATGGGAACTAGTGGTTGCGGGGGGCTGGGAGCCAGGACTGCTGGGTTTGCTCCCCAGTTGTTGGAGAGGAGTGAGGTCTAGCAGTGAGAAAGGGGAGGGGGCTGGGAGCCTGGACTCCTGGGTTCTCTTCCAGCTCTGGGCAAGGAGTGAGGTCTAGTGGTTAGAAAGGAGGGGGTCTGGGACCAGACACAGAGCAGGGCTTGTCCCCTCCAGCAGCGGTTCCCCCCTCCCCCACTACTAATGGGCTGTTTTCCTTCTCCCCTCCCCCCCCACTATTGGCCTGCAGAGTCCCCCTATGAGGAAATCAGGCGAAGCAGCTGGAGCGGCTCCCTCAGCGGAGGCCCCAAAGGTACCATCATGTCCCCCCGCCCACGTATCCCCGAGGGGCACTGCCCCATGGCTGGCTAACAACCCCTGAATCCAACCCGGGGCGTGGCTCCGTGTGGGGGCTGAATCCCGGGGCTCCTTCCCCTCCCCTAACGCTCTCCCCCCACATTTCTCCCCCCACCCTCCAGGGTCCCCCCCCCACGATCCAGGGGGTGAATCGGACGAGTGACTCCCCACGGATTGTAACAGGTGGGTGCCCCTGCTTGGGGAGTGGGGGGAGATCGCCCCAGTAGCTAGGCCCCTCTCTGCCCCATGGATGGCCCCCTGCCCCACACCACTAGGCCAGGGAGTGCCACAAAGCCATGGAGAGTGGCATTGAATTCATTTTGAGGGGTATGTCGGCCCCCAAACAGGGCGAAGTTTAGGGGTGCGTAGATCTCCAGCTCATGGAGAGTTTTGGGTTGGGCCCTGGGGGGTCAGATTGGATTGGGAGCAACTGAGGATTCGGTGTGAAGCCCATTTGGGAATGATGGTCAAGGGGAACTGGGGGGTCAGAGGGTTAGATGAGGGGCTGGGAGTCAGGACTCCTGGGTTCCATGGTGGGGATTGGGGTGGAATGGGTCCCAGCAGGGAGCAAGGGGGGTGTCTCAGACGCCCCCCAAAACTAACCCCCCCCAACTCCCTTTTCACCCCCCAGATCCATACCAGGTCCTGGGACCCACCAGCAGCCGCTTGGCAAACCCAGGTGGGTCTGGGCACCTATCACAGCTTGGGATGGGGTGAGGTTCTAGGTAATGGCTAGAGACGTGGAGGGCTGGGAGCCAGGACTCCTGGGTTCTATCCCTGGCTCTGGCAGGGGAGTGGGAGCTAGGGGGTTAGAGCAGCGGGGGTCTGGGGTTGGGAGAGGGGCGGGAGTTAGGACTCCTACGTTCTGTCCCTGGCTCCGGGAGGGGAGTGGGATCTAGGGGGTTAGAGACCCTACAATAACAAACCAGGAAAGACCCTCATATAACAAGCCAGTGCACACAGTAGGGCCTACAGTAATAAACCATTGCCCAGGGTTTGACCCCCTACAATAACAAACCAGGGCCCTCCTTCTTGGGGCAAAGCAGAGCTCCTCCATTAACAAACCAGTGCACCCAGCAGACCCTACAATAACCAGCCAGAAAAGACCCTACAATAACAAACCAGGGTGCAAAGCCGAGCCCCGTCGGTAACAAACCCGTCTCCCCCCCGGCAGGCAGTGGCCAGATCCAACTGTGGCAGTTCCTGCTGGAGCTGCTGTCGGACAGCAGCAACGCCGGGTGCATCACGTGGGAGGGCACCAACGGGGAGTTCAAGATGACGGACCCGGACGAGGTGGCGCGGCGCTGGGGCGAGCGCAAGAGCAAGCCCAACATGAACTACGACAAGCTGAGCCGGGCCCTGCGCTACTACTATGACAAGAGCATCATGACCAAGGTGCACGGTAAACGTTACGCCTACAAATTCGACTTCCAGGGCATCAGCCAGGCCCAGCAGAACCACCCGGGCGAGGGGCCCCTCTACAAGTACCACCCGGCCGACATGTCCTATCTGCCCTCCTACCACCAGCAGAAGGTGGGCTTCGGCCTCAGCCACGCCGCCCAGCTGCCCGTCTCCTCCGCCGGCTTCTTCGGGGCCCCCTCACCCTACTGGAACGCCAGCTCCGGGAACCTCTACCAGAGCTCGCCCGTGCCCCGGCCCACCGCCGGCCACCTGAACTCCTTCTACTAGCCACGGGGGGCGCCCGGCCTGCCACCGGCCACCTGAACTCCTTCTACTAGCCACGGGGGGCGCCCGGCCCGCCGCCGGCCACCTGAACTCCTTCTACTAGCCACGGGGGGTGCCCAGCCCGCCGCTGGCCACCTGAACTCCTTCTACTAGCCACTGAGGGTGCCCGACCTGCTGGCGGCCACCTGAACTCCTTCTACTAGCCATGGGGGGGTACTTGGCCCGCCACTGGCCACCTGAACTCCTTTTACTAGCCATGGGGGGCGCCTGGCCCGCTGCTGGCCACCTGAACTCCTTCTGCTAGCCATGGGGGGTGCTTGGCCCGCCGCTGGCCACCTGAACTCCTTCTACTAGCCATGGGGGGTGCTTGGCCCGCTGCTGGCCACCTGAACTCCTTCCACTAGCCATGGGGGGCGCCTGGCCTGCCGGCAGCCACCTGAACTCCTTCTACTAGCCATGGGGGGCGCCTGGCCCGCTGCTGGCCACCTGAACTCCTTCTGCTAGCCACGGGGGGCGCTTGGCCCGCTGCTGGCCACCTGAACTCCTCCTGCTAGCCACAGGGGGTGCCCGGCCTCCTGGCGGCCACCTGAACTCCTTCTACTAGCCATGGGGGGTGCTTGGCCTGCCGGCGGCCACCTAAACTCCTTCTGCTAGCCAAAAGGGTACTCCAGCCTGCCAGCGGCAACCTGAACTCTGTCTACTAGCTACGGGGAGGAAGGGGGTGCCATGGCGCATGGGGGCTCCCTAAATGCCTACTAGCCACAGGTGGGGTCCCCCCAAACATGGATAGCCACGTGGGATCCTTCTGCTGCCTGTCCCCAGCCCTGTTGCAGCCTCCCGCCCAACCAGTGCCTGGAAAGACCTCCCCCTTCCCTTCCCTCCCCTGCCCCGATAGTGGGGTGCCCCCCGACACCTGAGGGTTTTGGGGGGCCAGGGGCTCCCCACTGTGGCTGGACTCCTCCTGCTCTGGACTGGGCAGGGCCCTGGGGGACAGCCCGTAGGGTGCAGGGTTTTTTAAATGAGGGATTAACCTGCAGTTGTCCCTCCCAGCAGGCAGAACATCCCCCGCCCCCAGTCCTGCCTTGAGCAGGTGCCTCCTCTCCCAGCGTGGCTCCCACAACAGGTGCTCGTTAAACACTGTGGGACGCCTGTTGGGGGGCGGGGCTGGCTGGCTGAGAACACCTTTTGGGTGAAGCGACTGGCTGTCGAGCGTGGACATCTGTCAGGAGTGGAGGCTGGTTGTTGTCTTTGGTCACAGCAGGGGAAGCCCGTTGAGTGTGGATGCCTGTTGGAACTGGCGCTAGCTGTTACCTCTAGACACTAGGGGGCGCCTGTTGTGTGGGGGCTATGGAGGGGTGGAAACCGGCTATTGCCTCTGGATATGCAGGGCTGGATCAGGAATCCCAGCCAGGTGCCTGCCCCATTCATCCCCTCATCCCAACCTCCCCCCTGTAGGCAGGACCCATGGTAGCAGCCCCCCACCCTGGGGGAACGGGGTGCGGATACGCTGTAGCGCCGCTGCTGTGTGGGGGATTGTATCCGTGACACCCCACCCCCCAGCTCCATGGGGCTGACAGCGACTGTAATATGCCTCCTCCCTCACCCCATGTATTAAAGGTTGTGTTGTTACGTGTGCCATTGTTTGTGCCTGCAGGGTGATTTGGGGAGGGGGCTGGCAGGGGGGTGAGGCCCTGGGATGTTGGGGAGATTGGCTGGGGAGGCCTAATGGGGGTAGGGAAAGGGACTAGCAGTGGGGAGGGGCCTGGGGAGGCCTAGCAAAGGGTGGGGAGGGGGGCTGGGATTGGCTCCAGGGAAGAACAGACAAGCTCCCATGTACAGGGGCACCTGGCCAGCATCCACCAGCAGGTGGCGCTACAGCCCACCACAACGCCAATCTGCACCTACCTTCCAGCTGCACAGAGCTACTGCCCCCTGGTGGACACACTGCGGAGCTCCCTGCCCGAGGGCTTACACCGGGGATAGGCAAAGCTTTTGGCCTGAGGGCCACATCTGGGTACAGAAATTGTATGGCAGGCCATGAATACTCATGAAATTGGGGGTTGGGGTGCAGAGGGGGTGTGGGCACTGGGGTGGGGCCAGAAAAGAGTTCAGGGTGTAGGAGAGGGCTCAGGGTTGAGATTGAGATGGGTGGGGGGAGGGATGAGGGATTTGGGCTGGGGGTTCAGCTTCCAGGGTGGGGCCAGAAATGAGGGGTTCAGGTTGCAGGAGGGGGCTCCAGGCTAGGGCTGAGGGGTTGGTAGTGTGTAGGGTTACCATACGTCCAGATTTTCCCGGACATGTCCGGCTTTTTGGGCTACAAATCCCCGTCCAGGGGGAAATCCCAAAAAGCCAGACATGTCCAGGAAAATCAGGACATGCGGGGCCAGCAGTGCTGGGCCGGGGGTGCTGGGCCGGGGTCCGGGGCCCGGGGCCGAGCCGGGGGCTGGCCTGGGGCCAGCACCTCAGGGCCCGAGCCGACCCGGGCTAGAGACGCCAGGGGGGGCCAGACTGGGCCGCGCCTCCTCCCCCCTTACCTGCTTCAGGCTTCCCGCGAATATTAAGCAGGGGAAGGGGCGGAGTTGGGGCAGGGACTTTGGGGAAGGGGTGGAGTTGGGGCATGGGCGGGGCTGGGCCCCGTAGAGTGTCCTCTTTTTGGACACTCAAAATATGGTAACCCTAGTAGTGTGGGAAGAACAGAGGGATTCGGGCTGAGGCAGAGGGTTGTGGTGTGGGAGGGGGTACAGGCTGGGGTGGAGCAGAGGGGTTGGAAGTATGGGAGGGGGCGCTGGCCAGGGGGCTTTGCATACTGCCCCGTCCATTGGCTGCGGTTCCTGGCCAATAGGAACGGCAGAGCCAGTGCGGAACCCCCTGGCTGCCCCTACGCGTAGGAGCCAGAGGCGGGACATGCCGCTGGCTGCCGGGAGCTGCGTAGAGCAGGACAAGCCGCCAACCCTGGTCTGCGATGGAAGCTCGAGGTCCGGATTAAGGGGTCTGAGAGGCCAGACACGGCCCGCAGGCTGTAGTTTGCCCACCCCTGGATTACACATACCTGGGCTGCCTGAGATCCAGCGCTCAGCCAGGCCTCCATTGGTGGGTCAGGATTGAGGGGCACTGGCAGAGCTGGGTTAGCAGGGGCTGCGGGTCAGGCTTAAGGGGCACGGGCAGAGCTTGGGGCGGGGAGAGCCCAGAGCTGGGCTAGCAGGGGGCTGCAGGGTGGGATTGATGGGCATGGACCAGAATTATTCAGATCTGTGGGGGAACAACTTGGTGCCCGCAGTGCTGGCAGTAACCCCCTCTCCCTCTGCCCCCCAGCCAGAGCGCCACCCCTGCCCTGGGTTGGAGGGAAAAGAATGAGGTTCTAGCCCCACCCCCAGCCCTGAGCACCACCCCTGTAGCAGGAGGCGGTACAGGCCTGGGGAGCACGCCCCAGGGAGAAACAGTGAGGAAACCCCCGCCCTTGGGCTTGTAAATACAAAAGAAAAATGAACATTTATTAGGGTAGAGCCCCCGGCCCTGTGGGGAGCGTTACACACATGCCTGCCCCCCATGGGCACCGCTACCCCCGGCAGCACCCGAGGGGGCACTGGAGAGTCCATAGAGGAAGCTGCCCTGGGCCAAGAGCTATCATACAAGACAGACAGAAGGGGGGCGCGGTGGCTGGCCACCCAGCATCATAGCCCCGGGGCAGGCGGGGACCGAGTCTGCCTGGTGTCGGCTGGGGCCCCTCGGCTGGGGGGGCCTGGGCTGGGGGGGAGCAGGGGCCCCCCCCGGCTATCTCAGTCCAAGTTTCTTCTTCTCTTTCTGCTTCTTGCGCACCACATCGATGTTGCGATCCTTCCACATGCTCTTACGCAGCTTGATGGGGCGGCTGCCCACGTATTTACCTGCCGGGGGGCACAGATGGGGGCAGGGGGTCAGTAGATGGGGGGCAGCAGGTGCTCCCAGAACAGGGGGGAGGGGACACATCTGGCTGCACCTTGCTCCGCAGAGGGGTTCTTCACACACCCTCAGGTCCCTCCCCTTGCCAGGCTGGGTGCTGCCCCCAGGCCAATCCCCAAGGCTCTATGTGGGGCTGAGCTGTCCCATAGCTTGCATCGCCCGCCCGCCAGGCCCTGCCCCCACAAGCCACCTTTGGGCCACCTCAGCCCACTCCCTCCCCTCCCCCCAAGATGCACGCTGGCGGCGGCAGCAGGGTCAAAGGGCAGCCAAGCCAATTGGAGCACGACAGGGTAACCTGCCCCCCCGCCCGTCAGTGGCGCAACAGCCTAACCCCTCACCGTTCATCTCGCGCATAGCGCGGACGTAGTCGTTGGGGTCCTTGAAGCTGACGAACCCGTAGCCCTTGGTCTTGCCGGTGCGCTTGTCCCGGATCACCTTGGCCTTGAGAAAGGACGGGTAGCGGCTGAAGGCCCGGGCCAGGATGTCGTCGTTCACCTCGTTGCCCAGGTCCCCGCAGAAAATCCGGAAGTCATCTGGGATGGGATGGGGGGGGGGGTGAGAGTGGGGCAAGGCCATAGGAACCGCCTGACCCCTGCCTGTGATCATGGCAATCCTCTGCCACAGAGCTCAGCATCTGCTGCATGGAATGAGCCTGCCAGGTCAACCCCCAGCAATATCCAGGGGCAGGGAGTCCCAGAGGTCAACCCTCAACGTCATCCCCCTGCAGCAGGGAGTCCCACAAATTAACTCCAATAATATCCTGGGCTTCGCCTGCACCCCGCTCCGGTTCAATCCCTCCCCTCCCTATCCCAGCCACCTGGGATTCCCTCCCCCTCCCACTGATCAGGACCCTGCCCCCCACTCACCCGAGTCCCACTCCAGCAGGCTGGAGTCCTCCCAGCAGCTCCCAGCCGCCGTGCGGATGCAGCGCTTCAGCTTTTCCTGCCTCGTTTTCTTCTTGTCCTCGACCACGGGCTCCACCACGGGCTGGGGAGGCCAAGGGTCAGCAACATCCCTCAGGGTAGAACCTGGAGCAGCCATCCCCGTGCTCTCCATTCCCTCCAGACCCCCTATAGGAGCAGCCCCCCACCTTGCCACACGACCCTCCTTACCCATTGGCACCTCTGGCGTCCCTGGAGAGACCCCACCCATGGTTCTCCCCACTACAGCCCAGACTCCCTCCCCCTTGGTGTCCCCCCACAACCACCCCATGACATCCCCCAGCCCTCCTATTGTCCCCCCACTCCTGCATATACCCCTCCCCCGATCCCCTCCGGCCAGAAAAATACGTCCCCTTACCTCCATTGGTGCAAATCCAGGTTCGGGGCCCCGGGGCCTCCGCCCCCGTATGGGCCCCAGTTCAGGCCCACGCAGCGCAGGCAGCACCCTGGCCTCTGGCATCACAGGCTCCACCTCGGGCATGCTGGGGCCGATCACAGCCTCCTCCACCCCCCCTGGCTCCTTCTCCTCCACCACGACTGGTGGGGGCTGCTCCCGCAGCTCCTCCTGCAGGTACAGGGAGACTAGCACCAGGGGCCATGCAACTGCAGAGGGATTAGCCTGGGGAACTCCCCACCTCATTAATCCAGCCCAAAGGGAGGGGCTGTGTATTAGCCCATGAGACTCCCTGCCCCATGAATCCCATGGGAAGTCAGCCTGAAGCCCTGAGTTAACTGAATATCCAGGCAGGACAGGGTATTATAAAGGAATTAACCAACAGGACACTGGAGCTAGCCCATGGGACTTCCTGCCACCGGGGCAGATAATGAGGTTAACACAAAATCACTGGTGTTAACCTGCGGAACTCCCTGCCACTGGGACACGTACTGGGAGTTCTCCGTGTCCCCCACACTAATCCTCCAAACATCGATGCAGTGGGTGAAATCCAAAGGGTACTATAAGGATGGAATCTGGGGGACATTAAAGTCCGTCCCGCAAGACCCCTCCACCCCTACTGCAGTGGTGGGGCAGGCACCAGCCACACCCAACTCCCCGCATTCGCTCCCAGCCTGGCCAGCATCAGAGCCCTTCCAGGACGTCTCCCAGCCACAGGGACATTGCGGCAAGCAGCTTGGTATGTTTTAAAGGGGCATTCGACATTTAACAACCCCACACAAGACTGCCAAGGCTCAGAGCTCTTGACCCTCATGTTTCAGGGCAGGAGCAGAGCCACAAAGTGGGGGAAGGAAGGAAGGAAGCCCCTCCGAGGTGGGATGGCCCAGCGAGGTGTGTTTGGGGTGGGGGGTGGATTTAATGCCTTCCTTTCAAGCACCAATGGAGGTTGAGTGGCAGAGAGCTTTGCCCCTGCCCCCCCCATACCTCCTGCTTTTTCACCGGCGGCGCGGAGTACACCGTGGGGGCTGCCTGGATCACCATGGGGTTTATCTTCGGAGCTGCCACGACGGGGGGGCGGGGAACCGACATCAGAGGAGTGATCGGGCCGATGGGGACCCCGGGTCCTACCTAGACAGCAGCAACAGAGGGGGCATTAAAGGGGCTAATGCAGACAATGGCTCCCCGGCCGGTCTCTGTCCAGCCCCCCCGCCCCCACCCCAAAGCTGGTGACACCCCCAGAGCTGAAATGCAGCTGCCTCTGGGAGACATAGCAGCTGGTGAACAGCCACACAACAAATGCAGTGTCCTGTAACAGGGTCAGCCAGCACTGACTGTGAGGGGAGAGCGCCCCCTCT